ACGCCTCGCTTCATCTCGACGCTAAAAGTATAAAATGAGAGGAGTGGGAGGGGGGGGGTGAGGGACATTTCAATTATTTATTTCACAATTCAAGTGATTTCCAACAGAAATATCAAGAATGAGCAGCTCATTGGCCGGACCCTAACAGGTGTGTGTGTGCGTGCGCGCGAGGACCTCCAAGCTTTCAAATAGCAGATTAACTTAAATCCCTCTAAATTCACGTGTAACCCATTTTTTTCACTTTGAAGTCGCCCATTTCTTTCCGTTTATTTCTCCGTTTGTAAAATTAAAGCTTCCTGCTGTTTTTTTATAAATATTCAGGGATACCCGATAGACTTACCTCCACGTAGTGCTCCCTGGTCAACCTATATTCATACGGCAAAAAAGTCTATTAATTGGCAGTTGACTTCTGACTTCCGACTACCATGACCCGACTCTATGTCATATTCGACCACTTCCATAGAACTCACCTTACCTTACCTTTTTCTCTGCCTTTGTGACTGTCTCTTACATCTGTGAGTCACTATTCTGTTCCTCCCCTCTATGAAGCCCGAATTCAAGTATGGGGCTAATGATAACTACCATAAAGCCTACAATTCGACATAAATAAATGATAATATTCAGTGTCCACAAGCAATTTCAGAGATTTAGTTAATTTATTTAATTAATTAAATGCATTAATATGATTCAAGATAAGTTGGCACCATCAAGTTTGGTTATATTTTTTTTATTTTTAAGTCAAGCGTCATTTTGAACATTTCCATGATGGTAGTTTATAAACTCGGATATTACAAGGTTTAATTGTTTTAATTTTGCTAGTTTTGCACTGTAATTAATTAAAATCCGATAAATATTCGGCTTAGTGCATTTCATTTACCTCTCCGTAAACCCATCCTTGCTCAATCTTCCGTATTGACCACAATTCGTGCAGATTTTCGGCCAATTTATCCCGAATACGCTCCACGACATTTGGCAAATGGATCTAGAGGGAAGGGGAGGAAGCAAGAGGTGGGATCACAACTGCGATCACGCTGTGATTGAAATTCAAACTATGCTAACTTTATCTGTATTAATTGGGATGGGAACAAAGACATCCTGTGATGGCAAAGGTGACGCCAGGGGTCCAGAAAATATGGATTTGTCTAGGCGACCGAATGAGAAAACTGGTTCCAGACGAAGTCTTTGAGACGGTTGCAACGCATCAATGATTGGTGCATAGCCGGCTGGAGGACCGTGTTTCAATTTTCCTTGAGTACCTCCCAATACAAATCGAGCACTAGCACGAGCTGTCATGCTGACACAGGGGAAGAAGAGACCAGTGGTGTTGAAATCCTGAAAAAGAAGACGAAGAAAATTGGCGCATTTACGGGCGTAAGCTGAAACTCTGTGAGAAATATGCAGTATTTACTCACTTGAAAGTATCCTTTGACAAGATTTCCATTCAGATTGAATTGAATAACGGGACCAGTGAGATCGAGCAGGCAACCAATCACGTCTCCTCGTTTCAAATTTGTACTGCCATTGGCTGGTGCAGCTGATGTAGTTGGACCTGGTCTTCGATTGGTGAGTTTTCCACCGGCACCTGGAGGAAAGAGCGCCTGTTTAGCCTTGCCACCCGTCCACAGATTCTGACCATCAAAGGCGAATGAGTAGAAGTCATCTCCCAGTGAGATTCCTCCCCAACCAGGGCCGCCGACTGGGTGTGGAGTATAACCGTCTGTATTGCCCCAACCAATTCGAATTCCTGCAGGCTGGTGAGAGATGTTTTCAAGTGCGTCAATGAACACTTCGAAGTACCATTTTGTGTACATGGATCCGCCCTGAGGTATAAATTAGGTGAAATTATGAATTCAGAAAGAAAGATGTAGTAACTATTGTTAAAATGTATGCCTCTTTTAGGCAGTATTCGTCCACCCTCCCCTCCCCTCAGTCTGAAACTGATGCCGACTAAGACATCGATCATACTTACAAATGGGAGACATTTTTGCCCCACCAGTTAAGTTGGTTCAGGTATTTCAACTGTTATACAGTGACCACAATAAGCCTCTAATGTTTTGGAATTAATTTTATCAAGAAGATCACCCTTCTCTGTGGCGATTTTTAGATTATGTGAGCTAAATTTTGCTCAAAGGCTGATTGTAATTGAACCAGCTCATGACGAAGAACGCCTCGCAAATCAATAATCAAGAAATGGAGAATTGTGAATAATCACGCTCTTTTTGATTATACCAAATAATTGGTTATGTGGTTTCTACTTATATTCAGGTTGCCTGGCATTGGAAATCGAAAAATTCTCTTTGTAAACTTTGTCAAAGTTTACATTGCCATTGATCTCACTGATATCAAACTTTAAGTGAATGCATCTATTCTTGCTTTTGATTGGTGTTAATCCAATATGAATTCTGACCACATTGAGTACGCTCAAAAACGACTTTCTGAGTCAAATTATGAGTGTTTCCAACATACATAGGGTCAGTCATTTATTATAATGACTGTGCTTCATCAGTAATTAACAAATACTGTTCAGTGCTTTATTGTGATTGGATTTGGAAGCATACCGGCTTAATGCCGACGAAGATATTAGGTCTCATGGATCCAGATTGAGCCACAAGTTTAGTTTGCAGGAGAAGGTCTCTTTCAGGGAGTAAGCTCTCATAGATCAGGTCCTGATTAAGTCGTACAGCTCCACCTTGTCGACCCGTGCAGATTGAGTAGAGTACCTCGAGAACCTTAAAGCGAAAAATCAAAATACAACGTTCCAGTCAGCAAGCATTTAGTACTTTTTACGGGTCAGTACTTACTCTCGGGTCTCGGCCCTGTTTATCCAGAAGGCCAATCAACGTGTGGATATGTTGAGCAGTGATAACATTCAAAGCTTCATCTGAGTCCGTTAAGACGCAGTGAAGAGCATCCAGGACACCCTCGGCAAAGCTCTGTTGAAGCTCGAGTCGATTGAAAAGCCAATCGAGACGGGCAGGCGCAGCAAATTGAGCGCAATTTTCTCTATTTCCTCTTATTAGAGCAGCAAGGAGGAGGTAAAGGTAGTTTCCAAGGTCACTGAATCGGCTTCCACGCTCTTCACCTACGGCTAAAGCGAATTCACGACGGCTACGGAAGGCTCCAGTAAACTTGTCAATCGTTTCAAGAACCAGGCTGATCATACCCTCCTCCTGACGAATAAGAAAATACGAGGTGGTTAAAGTGACCACTGTGAGTGGTGATAAGAAAGGCTCAGTTTTATCATATTGTGCGCATCTAGAGCCTAGAATGGAAATGCCAAATTTTTACACTCTCACAAATAAGAGTTTCGGCTGATATTGCATTTTTCATTTTGACTATATCACTTAGATAAGAGCAGGAGAGTTTAAGTAAGAAGAAAATTGTTGTACTGACCTGGAATAGATCCTGTCTGTTTGCAAGTGCAGCTAACTTCGATTGTCTGGCTTCATGTTCCTCGTGAATCTCGGGTTGAGCGAAAAATTCGATCAAATCTTCAAGACATTGGTTCACTTCCTCAAGATTCAGTGGTCCATTTTCTCCCGAGCCAATAATAACAGGAGGAGGCGGAGATACAGGAGCTCCTGAAGTACCCCCAAGTCCGTCAGCGCTTGCCAGAGCATCCAGACCTCGATTGAAAGCGGAGAAGACGGCAGTTGAACGCCGGATAGCTGCAGCCGAAAGAGACTCCTCCTCCTGGGCTCGAACCAGACTAAACACATCGTCCATGTGACCTTCAGCTAGAAGGACCGCCTTCTTCTCCTCCACTTTGCCGACTCCACGCTTTTTGGTCTCGTAAGACTCATAGGAGAGCCACCAACCCAGGGCGGCGTGCTGGAGGTAGATGAGGGTTTCTCCAAGACAGACATTCGGTTCACCCATCCCTTCGTGTTCACGGTCGATTTCAACTTTCTTCTTATCATCCTTGAGAACGCAAAAAGAAACGCTTACCAACCTTCCTCTCATATATATTTTAGACTTAAGTGTAAAGTCGTTTTTATAGATTGAGAATAAGACCTTCTAAGGCCCCCTCGTGTGATTTCCAAGGCTTATTTTGATAGAGTGATTTGCGTGACCATAGTCTAAACGCTTCTTTATAAAGGGCTCTCTTTTAGATAAGGCAAAGTAGAGTTTGCAAGGTGCATGAAAAAAATGGGAAAAGGAGAGAAGCACGAAGAGTGAAAAGGGGAATAAAATGATCTCCATTCGTGCATGGCTTCTCTACTGGTTCACACTCTGTGTCTAAGATACACACTTTTGGTCTAGCTAGTCGACAAGGTGATCTCCAATCTTCCATATCGACGTGTCTTTTGGCTTACAGCGTCTAGATCTCCCATTTAAGGGCTTTTTGTCAATAATTATATTGATAATGATAAGCTGAAAGCCCTCACCTTTGTTTGTTTAATGTAAAAGACAGTGGCGGCATCATTTGATTCCTCTGGAGATAGTAACACCACATCGATTTGACCCGGCGCTGTAGGAGCTCCTCCGGCATTGACTTGAGTAATACCCAAATATCGACCCGTTGTGACGTGTCGAAGGCGTACTGCATCCTCCCAGGAGAAGAAACCTGCACACCACTTGATTTTCGTATGCTCAATTTGCCACAGAGATGATGCATGACCCGAGACTGAACCAAGTTGATACATCACCGATTGATGGTAACTAAAATCAAATTTAAGTAGTATGTTGGCAGTAGACATTTGTCCTTTATGGGCGTATTTAGCATATGGTGGGTACTGGTCTAGAGTAATCCGAATTTTAAATGCCCTTATGATGATAAATCAAGATAATAATCTCTTAAACTTCTGCATAAGATAGAGATGCATCAGCACTAGTACTCACTCTGACGAAGAAGTAATTTCGTTGGAGATGAAATGACCTTCTTCTGTATCCCCGGCAGATTGAATTGTGAGGCATTCATCACCATGGAAGAGACGAATGACATCACCTCCGAAAGCCATATCTAAATGTAAATGTAGGCACCTTAATAGTAAGTCATTTCTATTAGGAAAGTTCACTATCTGTAACTGCGAACTCACGAAGAGATTTCTGTCGAACAACGCCGCTTGAAACTGGAATTACAGTCCATAGAGTCTGTTGAAAACTGGCGATAACTCCTGATGTCGAAAATGAATCGCCATAGACGTGCTAAAATAGAAAAGATACGTTGATACTGCTAAACTGAGCAAGACAGCATTATTGTTAACGCGACTAGGTGATGCAAATGTTCGTAAGAATTCGATCAGATCCGGCTGAATATTTGAATAACGTAAGAGAAAAAAACGCATCACTGCGTTAACTTAAAAGCCGTTCACCACAACTGCTTCATTAAAATATAAAACCCACTTTGTCACTAATAGTGGAATTGGCATTGCCGATATTGTGGCGCAAAGTATTTGGACTATCCACAAGTAACACAAAGGAGGCGGTTGTAGATGAGTTGATACGAATATTTAAAATATACGATACTGCAAAACTCTAAGTGAATTTATTGATTCCAAGTAACTTGGTAGTTTTAAGACAAGTATCACAAATTTTTCCTCCACTTTAATACAAACTGCAGAGATAGATCTGCTCACTTCCAACCATCACTAGGCCATTGCAACTTCTTGAACAGTTCTGTGATGTGAAGCTACTTGTGGTATCCATCAGATAATAATAATAATAATGATATCAAACATAAATTATTTAAAATTTCTAACAATTTTTTCAGTCAAGAGAGAAAAATCGTCTCACTAGGCAGTGGAGTTCTCAATTCTTTGCTAAATGCTTGAAAGATTCAATCGAGATAAAATGTCTCATGACACTTCTGACAACATTTTAGTTAAGCCGCCTACAATCCAACTGAACGTCCGATTGTACCTCTCTCTCTGTCATGGTTCCTTCAACAACAACAGCTCAAGACCAGGCGGTCAACAATGACAAAACGTTGATTCTCTCAGCCAAGGGTAGAGTGGAAGTTTTATTTCATATCAGATTGATCAATGGACAAATCAGTTAAGACGCTTGTCTACCAAGTCCTAAGTTGAAACTATTTGAGGTTTCAAAAATTCACAGTTACTTTGTTTGCAGATTTTATTCTATTCACTTATTCGAGAATCGGAGATGAATTGAAATTGGGCTGATAAATTAGGGCATTCACTGGACTGCGGGAAGTAATTATTCTAAGCACATACTCTACCCTCCCCCCCAGACCCCCAAAAAAGTAAACTATGCCAAAGTAATAAGCCATGATGGGGTTAAATAAACCTTTTGCTCGTCAAAACTTCTGGAATGGGAAGAATTGATATTAGATCACAATACCCAAAAGATATAATTTTTACCGAATTAAATTTTATCGTAAATACAAAAAAAATTTTCAGAATTCTACTTCAATTTAACATAATATTAACGTGTCATATTTGATATCAAGTTTAAAATCGATTTATTAAAACTGGAATTTTGTAAGCTTTGTTTTACTTAATCGAGGCCAGTTATTGTTAATCGCGCTTTTGAAGAATAGCTTCAAATTTCTAGGTGCTAATGCATGCACCAGGACACGTGCGAAGTTCAGCTATTTCCTAAGTTTAAAAGTATCCCACATCTGAACAGAACATGACTTCATGTCTCCCATTATTCTCCTTCATTGCCCGATCACGTAGTTAATGGTCTGCACCAAAGACCGCGAAATACGAACGAACCAATCAGGACACATGTTGACATAAGAAAATCGATAGATGATAGGCCACTTCGTCATATGCTATTGCGGTATCTACGCCTACACACACATCCCCACTGTGCGTGCAAGACGTGTTTGCAGCGACATGACGTACGCGCCACTTTGGGCAACATCTATGCACCAATGGGAAAATCGATATTGGTAGAAAGATGGGGGGGGGGGTGGAAGGTTAAAAAGTGACCGCCTTACTAGAATGACCTTCACGCCTGGTGCTTTTGCTGGCAGCAGACGGTCATTGCCTTGGAGTTACACAATCACAATTTATATTGAATATACTACTCAGAAAATATAATTACTTAACCTACTTTTAACACAATTTTCGGATTTAAAATAGGGTGGAGGGGGGGGGGGGGTTGTGTATTTAAACTTTAAAATAAGCTTTTAACAGCACTACTTAAGTAAATTTTGAATACTTGTTGATTTGTGATTAAGATAATGATTCTTCATGTAAAATCAAAGGCACAACGGATAACAAAGTTCGGCATCACTGGATGTAAGAAATTTTCACAATTGCAAGTGTAAATATCCAACTATTTTACTAATGACAGCCTATTGACTAATCATTATCACTTTTGATATCTTAATGCGCCCCAAACAGTGTAAATATTTGCGAAGAAAATGCAGAGAATTTGAAATGAATATATTTATGGTAACATTAGGATTTCTAAGAAGAATTTGTGATATTAAATGCACAGGCCTTTTGAAGTATATTCTAATTAAATAAGCGCTTTTCTCGTGCATTCTGTGACAATCAAAAAGAATAATTATAACTATGATCCCCATAGTTAAGATATCAATGTAATCGTTTATTCTTACATTCGGAAGGTGAATCTCCATCAACATTTCCATATGGCGATGACTTCGTTCACTTGATCCATTTAATCAAAAGGTCCAATCAAAGTCAAAGGTTCGGGGGGGGGGGGGGGGGGGGGGGGGGGGG